GCATCCGTTACGTGGCCGATGAGCACCCATTGGCCCACACTCTTTCCCTGTACACCAGGCTGGGTGTCTGCCCAGTGCTGGAACGAGGAGAATGCAAGCTCCGACTCCTGACATTTAGAAACCGTTCTGGAATCGTCAGTTAGCTGTTGTCGTCCCGAATTGAATTGCAAGGCCCGCCGACATGCATGACCACTCGAGGTCAATTGGGACGCAACCTTCCACTCCCCTTGGCCCACAGTGCTTCTGGCGCATGCCGACCGCTTCTAGCCAGCTGCCGACTCTGGAATGGCCTGCCCGACTGTATGAAGTCTATAGTATCTGTCCGTGAATTCAAACGCATGCTACGCGTATTTTACTTTGGTTAAATGTAATGGCTTTCGTAACCTGCTGATGAGGCTCGATAGAATCATGCTACGATGACCCGACTTGTAAATTTCAGATCCATTTTTTCTGCTCGTCTTGACCCTGCCTCCCCTCATTGCTACTTCCATTTTCGTATTTTTATTTTCATTTATTTTTCTCTCCATTTCTGACTCTTCTTACTGGTTGTCATCGCTTCCATAATATTGGGCAGAACTGCCCGTTTGCCTTGCGATGTAAAATAAATAAACAACAACAACAACAACAACAACAACAACAACAACAACAACAGTCGGCATTCTTTGTTGCCGCGGGACTTAGCTTGTGCACATTTTCGCTGCGCTCACCTTCCCCTCTTCGGTCCTACGTAACCATGAACTTTTCCAAGTTGGAAGGCTGAACACAAAGTTCAGTGGTATTCCGATGATGTATTCTCTGTTTTGTCGCGTGGTAGGTCTTTCTTGCATCTTGCCGTGTTGGAAGCTTTGTACATACGTAAGTTAGACCCTGAGCTTTGTGTTCAGAAGGAGAATGTGTTGTCTTTGCAGTTGTTCGGCACTGTTCGTCGTGAAGGTGTGAAATAGATCCCATGATCTCTTGATATTCCCTAATTTTCTTGTCACTACGTTTTTGTCAATTATTGGATTTGCATGCTGTTTTCTTGACTCTTCACATCTATTTTTTTCGTGTCACTTCTACACATAATTGGAGTGATGTATCTATGAACTTCTTTTCTTTATAGTTGTAGTCTCTTAGCGTATTTCCATCATTCCCTGTAGTATTTTGAGAAGACGGGAACGAAAACGTTCAATACTGTAATAGGTAGCCGAGTGGTAGGCGCGGTGAAATCAACAATAATTACTTTTATTCTACTTTCAGGTACACACCTGAGATATAATCGTTCGTGAAAGAAGAAGCGGCAAAATAAATAACTTTCTCTCCGGTGCTCACCTAGAGGCTGAATCCTTATTCTTCGAGTTAGCTTTCATTGCTATCCAATCTAATCTAATCTTCATCAAAACAGAAATGCGCAGCCGCTTTTATGCAGCAGCTGCCGTACGCTTACATACGGAGATACACTAAATATACATCAGGCAAAGCTCCGTATTAGTTCCGTACTGCTTCCGTATTGCTCGGGCAGGGATACTACACCCTCCCTTCCTACAGATAATCTTGCCCTCGTGATTTTCCAAAAATTAGTGAGGAGTTACGAACACAGCGTCAACCGGAAGATGGCAAATTATATCGGAAATGATAACGTTTAGAGTAAACAGAAGAAATGAACTGATAACAAATCATAAAGTAGAAGCACACCAGGTTCACACGACCTCACGGGGTCAAAAGGGGAAAGAACTGTCCTCCAAATAGGACCTGAAGCCACAGCACTCTTGCTGCACAACGCTGGCACAACCCGCCAGGAACATCGCAGTTCAAAAACCGAACTGAATACACTATAACTATAAGGGGCGTTGTCACACACATTGTCCCACGTTAGCTGGGTAAGCCGTGGCTCACCATGATCAGACGCCTACCAAACTAAACTGGATTCACACACCCGCATAAAGGAAGACTGAAGAGAACAGGGAGACTGAAGGAAGACCAGGAAAGAAAATGCCATACCTGGAATCAGCGTTAGTAACCACGGCGGCAGCTGGAGCTATGGCGGAGGGCGAACCAGGTTTTATCCTCATCTTGGTGGAGCCGGTCACTCAGAGCGGCTAGCTCGCGTCAGACAAATGACCTTCCTCCTCGTCTTGAATCGTGGTCTTCACATTGTCGATAGCATCGCTTTGCGCGACGTAAAGAGTGATGGTCTAGCCAGGAAGAGTGTTGACGAAAATCTGCATCCCACCACAGAGGCGAAGTACCAAGTGGAGAGTGGGCTCCTGCTTCCGAATGCGTGCCGGCGAAAATCAAACGCTGCTGGTCTTGGGAAATACCCTTCTTGTCTTGAGGAGCAGCCTGCCTGTTGTCGTCCTCATCAGCTTCGCCATCACCACCGGTAGTATACATGTAGGTAGCGGGTCGCTTGGAATCGCCATCGGAGTCTCCAGTGTATGCCATGCGGAGGGAAGGGTGATCCACGCTAGCACCCTGACTGTGCTGCAAGCTAATAAGCAAAGCCAAGCCCAGGAAGGCAAGAAACATGATTCTCATCTTCATTCGTCGCAGGGAGCTGCAGCGGGTTGAGCCATGGGGGTCTGGGGTCGAAACACGTGGTTTTATTTAAAACTACACCGCTGCCACCAATGTAACGGTAGCCGAGTGGTAGGCGCGGTGCAATTGTAGTATCCCTGCCCGACCAATACGGAAGCAGTACGGAAGGTGTGTACCTGAAAGTAGAATAAAAGTAATTCTTGTTAATTGCACCGCGCCTACCATTCGGCTACCCACTACACAATTAACAAGAATTACTTTTATTCTACTTTCAGGTACACACCTGAGATATAATCGTTATTGCAAGAAGAAGCGGCCAAATAAGTAACTTTCTCTCCGGTGCTCACCTAGAGGCTGAATCCTTATTCTTCGAGTTAGCTTTCATTGCTATCCAATCTAATCTAATCTTCATCAAAACAGAAATGCGCAGCCGCTTTTATGCAGCAGCTGCCGTACGCTTACATACGGAGATACACTAAATATACATCAGGCAAAGCTCCGTATTAGTTCCGTACTGCTTCCGTATTGGTCGGGCAGGGATACTACAGTACTACAGTAAAACCTGTAACTAAAGACCAGCGTGACTAGCAACCAGCCTGGTACTACAGTAAAACCTGTAACTAAAGACCACCGTGACTAGCGACCAGCTTGGTGCTACAGTGAAACCTGTAACTAAAGACCAGCGTGACTAGAGACCAGCCTGGTACTACAGTAAAACCTGTAACTAAAGACCAGCGTGACTAGCAACCAGCCTGGTACTACAGTAAAACCTGTAACTAAAGACCAGCGTGACTAGCAACCAGCCTGGTACTACAGTAAAACCTGTAACTAAAAACCAGCGTGACTAGCAACCAGCCTGGTACTACAGTAAAACCTGTAACTAAAGACCAGCGTGACTAGCAACCAGCCTGGAACTACAGTAAAACCTGTAACTAAAGACCAGCGTGACTAGCAACCAGCCTGGTACTACAGTAAAACCTGTAACTAAAGACCAGCGTGACTAGCGACCAGCCTGGTACTACAGTAAAACCTGTAAGTAAAGACCAGCGTGACTAGCAACCAGCCTGGTACTACAGTAAAACCTGTAACTAAAGACCGGCGTGACTAGCAACCAGCCTGGTACTACAGTAAAACCTGTAACTAAAGACCAGCGTGACAAGCGACCAGCCTGGTACTACAGCAAAACCTGTAACTAAAGACCAGCGTGACTAGCAACCAGCCTGGTACTACAGTAAAACCTGTAACTAAAGACCAGCGTGACTAGCAACCAGCCTGGTACTACAGTAAAACCTGTAACTAAAGACCAGCATGACTAGCGACCAGCCTGGTACTACAGTAAAACCTGTAACTAAAGACCAGCGTGACTAGCAACCAGCCTGGTACTACAGTAAAACCTGTAACTAAAGACCAGCGTGACTAGCAACCAGCCTGGTACTACAGTAAAACCTGTAACTAAAGACCAGCGTGACTAGCAACCAGCCTGGTACTACAGTAAAACCTGTAACTAAAGACCAGCGTGACTAGCGACCAGCCTGGTACTACAGTAAAACCTGTAACTAAAGACCAGCGTGACTAGCAACCAGCCTGGTACTACAGTAAAACCTGTAACTAAAGACCAGCGTGACTAGCGACCAGCCTGGTACTACAGTAAAACCTGTAACTAAAGACCAGCGTGACTAGCAACCAGCCTGGTACTACAGTAAAACCTGTGTCGTGTCCGTGTGTTTCTATCTGTATTGTATTCCGTCTGCTCCTACATGTATCTTTGTAAAGTGTTTGCCGTGGCGTCGATGTGTCTCGTCCATGAATAGCGTTGGGAAACCTATCACTATTCATGCTTTGCTGGCTTGCTGCTCGCTCGCTTCGCTCCTTCAGCTTGCACGCTACTATAATTATAGCAGTATATACAGTCTGTTTCAAAAAGATTTACAATCAGGTTTGGGTCCTAAAAAGTATGAAGATAAGAGAAATTTGGACAACAAAGTACATAGAACGGCTTGTTAGGACACGGCAAATTGTTCTGTGAAGGTTTCGGAACAATTGGACCAGCCGTTAAGGAGTTAGAATTTCGGCCAGGTTTCCGGCCTTTTCCAATGGTTTCGACTTTGCCCAGGAAGCCAGTAGCGATTTTTATCAAAAACCCGCGATTTACGTATGTCTGTTTGGCCTCGTGGTTATGCATGCTGTCTGCTGACCATGAAGTTGTAGGTTCAAACCCCAGCCTATCTTCAACTCATAACCTTTTTTTCTATCGTTTTGCTGTCTGTGGACCATGAAGTTGTGGGTTCAAACCCCAGCCTATCTTCAATTTTATTTCTTTTTCTTTTTCCATTGATTTTGTGGCACTATAAAAGCACAGAGAAGTATTGCATTGAGATCCGAGATGTCTTGTTGTGACGCACAATACTATCATAGATATATCATAGATGTAATAAGACCAAAGACCAAAGTACAGTAGAGTGTGACTCAATATAATCTTTCTGTCATAGCCACCCACCCACAATCTTGCTTCCTTGTGCACGAACACGAAACACACGCAAAGACACATACACACGTCTGTGCTCGGTTTCCAGTTGTTTTTAATTTGTTGGAAAGTTAATGGTATAAGAGCATGCATACATTGATACCACAACAATGAGACCTGGCAATAGTAATAAGTTAATAACAATAATGAAATTTGAAATTGCAATAATGAAATGGGGTTGTCATAAAGATCAAAAGAAATCATCATATTGCAGGAAAGAAGTGTAATAAGATGTATGCTGTTTTACGGTATATTCCACTGTCCACACTGATATCCTTTGTAATAAGGGATTGACAGTGAGTAGAGAGAGCGTTCTTCCAGAAGATAGCGGTAATTGGAATGTTGATTAGGAAAATGGCGGGAGTTCCTCACGCAAGGGACCTCGAGACCGCCGGTTGAACTGTGGTGAAAACCCATCACCACTTGGGATGAATACCTGTAAAATCACAAAAACTCAAGCACAGAACAGGAAAAAGAACCACAAAACTTAATTACCTGCATCATCATTAGCATCATCATCATCATCATCGTCGTCATCTTCATGGACAAGGTCTTCGTCGTCATCTCCGTCGTCATCATCACTATCGTCACTATCGTCACTATCACCTAGTTCAATGATGATCTTATCTATCATCTCATCTTGCAAACCGTCATTAACCCATGATTGATCAACAAGTTCGTCACAATGTCGGCAACAATTTGGCCACAATTCAGGTTTCAGACTTGCAAACGCATTGTGAACATGCTCCTGTACGTCACCTATCTTGTACGTTTTGTTGATATTGGCTACATTCCCCTTAAGCCGAGCCCATACTAACTCAATAGGATTGAAAATGCAATGATAAGGAGGAAGGCGAAGGACATCAATCCCTTGCTTTTCAGCTTCCTCATCGCACACATATTTAGGACTAGGCTTATTCAACTTAACTAAATCAAGAAGCTCCTTCTTCACCATGTCCGGAGTCCAATGGATAGCACGCTGGCTCAACCACTCTTGGATCTCCGCTTTCCGCGACGATGTGGTGGGGCACTTGGATGCCTGCGTCTTCCGCGTATGGTACGGTGCATTGTCCATGACAATGACCGCACCTGCAGTAGAACAATGAAGATGGACAAAAAAACACTAATCAAACACCATCACCCTATTATAATATGAAAAGGTTCCAATTCTGAAACACAACCACTATTATGATCAATGGAAATTGCAATCGGCAGTTTTCACTAAAACAATTTGGAAATAAAACGCACATATGTAACAAACAGAACAAAAAAGAAGGGAACAGTTGGCTCACCTGCCGGTAGATGTTGTTGAATTGAAGGCAGTAGCTTCTGCGTCCACCACTCTTCGAAGTGCTTCGCGTTCATCTCATCATGGTAATCATGAGATTTGGTGTTTCCCACAAACACCAACTCACACCCTGGTAGAAAGCCACCTTTCCAACCAGCGTGCAAGATTATGAGACGCTTGCCCTTCCCAGACGGAGCTTCATGGGGTTGCTTGTCACCTCCTGCTGCATCTTTCAGATACCTACAGTAAAGTGTACAACACAAATGTTCTCTCAGTAACATTTTAATACATGTAACTTCTTACAGAACCAGAACAAATTGAGAAAATATCCAATAGTGAAAACATACATGCAACACCTATAAAACGAAACCATCTTCAATAGTTCTCATCACCACTTATATCCAAAGATACATACAGCAATAACAAATTTCACTGTTACGAACACTACATCAGTGCCATGAATTTATAAATTTGGGAAGACTCACCATTTCCTAGAAACAGTATGATGGGCATTGATCCAGGTTTCATCCAGGTAAACAATTGGTCTGCCTTCCCGACGAATTTGCCTGATCCGACGCAGGAAGCGATGACGCCAAGCAACAATATCAGTCCGCTCCATCATTATCTGAGTGTTCCCCTTCGTCTGCACATAGTGAAAGCGAATCGACTTCAGAACTCTCCAGAATGTCGTTCGTGACATTTTTGGAAAGTCTTTGTCTTCCTTGCACAGAGCAAACACTTTGTCCACAGTGGGGTGCTCACGCTTGGAGTAGAATCCATGGACTTTCCCCCGGATGACGCTCCTCGTGAACTCGTCCACAACAACTTTAGGGCGGCCACGAGCTTTACCCTGCTTCGTAGCTTTACCCTGCTTCGTACCAGATACTCGACGAAGATGGTTGACAGCCGCCGTTGTAATTTTGCACGCCATGGCTGTTCGGACGGCCAGCGATTTAGCAGCACCACGATCACGACGACCACCTGACTTCTCCAACTGAAAGAAGGCGTAAACATTGCGAACTATCGACTTCTCTCCCTCTCCAAGGCGAGGCATGGCAGAAGATAATCGACAATGTTTATCAAATAAATCAAACAAGAGAAAGTGCACAACGTGCCTTGCACGTTTTATGCAAACTCGCGTGGCGCGCGGATTTTTCGTACTTGCCGCGCAATATTTCTTCGATTTCAGAACGAGTTTTTCCTGGCAGCTCCTACGGTAAAACCGTAAACTCGGCGAGCGCTCCCCGGGATTGTATTTCTTTTTGAAACGGACTGTAGGTCGATGCTTTGCGTCGATGGGTTGTGGTTGTTCTTGTTGCTTCTCGGTTGCTTGGAACTTGGTCCTAGAGTGTAGCTTTGGTCTTCTTGTGTGGTGAGGGTGAGGAATGGGTATCTGGACTCCTGGTATATTTCCGTAAAGAACCTGGAATCGTAGAATCCTGAGATATGTCTGGCCCACTCCCCGGTCATGACACCTGTAAATTACAGTAAAACCTTTAATTAAAGACCAGCGTGACTAGCGTCCAGCCTGCAACCTGTAAGTAAAGACCAGCGTGACTAGCAACCAGCCTGGTACTACAGTAAAACCTGTAACTAAAGACGAGCGTGACTAGCAACCAGCCTGGTACAGTCGACCTACCCTTATAACGATATTTGCGTCAGACCAAGAAATATTGTTATAAGGGTAATATTGCTATAGGGGTAACTGGTTCGTTTCATACACATACGTCATAATGCATGGATTTTGTTCAATTTTTTTACAGTCTTCATAGCATAACAAACTGACATACATGCACATCATGTACACAGCAAGGTGCCCACTGGTGCCCCCATTGCATTTCGTCATGTCCCAGCGACTTATCAAGTGAAACTTGCCCTACCTGGATAGTGGGCTCTACATCTTCCCTGCTAGATATTGTTATAAAATGGAAAATGTTGATTGGTCAGCCCATTTTATATCGTTATAGGGGTAATATCGTTATAGCAATATTGTTATAAGGGTAGGGCATTGTATACAAAAGTCAATGGAGTGATTTGGTTTGGCAGAAAAATATCGTTATAAGGGTAATATCGTTATAGAGGTTATCGTTATAAGGGTAGGTCGACTGTACTACAGTAAAACCTGTAACTAAAAACCAGCGTGACTAGCAACCAACCTGGTACTACAGTAAAACCTGTACAGTAAAACCTGTAACTAAAGACCAGCGTGACTAGCAACCAGCCTGGTACTACAGTAAAACCTGTAACTAAAGACCAGCGTGACTAGCAACCAGCCTGGTACTACAGTAAAACCTGCAACTAAAGACCAGCGTGACTAGCAACCAGCCTGGTACTACAGTAAAACCTGTAACTAAAGACCAGCGTGACTAGCAACCAGCCTGGTACTACAGTAAAACCTGTAACTAAAGACCAGCGTGACTAGCAACCAGCCTGGTACTACAGTAAAACCTGTAACTAAAGACCAGCGTGACTAGCAACCAGCCTGGTACTACAGTAAAACCTGTAACTAAAGACCAGCGTGACTAGCAACCAGCCTGGTACTACAGTTAAACCTGTAACTAAAGACCAGCGTGACTAGCAACCAGCCTGGTACTACAGTAAAACCTGTAACTAAAGACCAGCGTGACTAGCAACTAGCCTGGTACTACAGTAAAACCTGTAACTAAAGACCAGCGTGACTAGCGACCAGCCTGGTACTACAGTAAAACCTGTAACTAAAGACCAGCGTGACTAGCAACCAGCCTGGTACTACAGTAAAACCTGTAACTAAAGACCAGCGTGACTAGCGACCAGCCTGGTACTACAGTAAAACCTGTAACTAAAGACCAGCGTGACTAGCAACCAGCCTGGTACTTCAGTAAAACCTGTAACTAAAGACCACCGTGACTAGCAACCAGCCTGGTACTGCAGTAAAACCTGTAACTAAAGACCAGCGTGACTAGCGACCAGCCTGGTACTACAGTAAAACCTGTAACTAAAGACCAGCGTGACTAGCAACCAGCCTGGTACTACAGTAAAACCTGTAACAAAAGACCAGCGTGACTAGCAACCAGCTTGGTACTACAGTAAAACCTGTAACTGAAGACCAGCGTGACTAGCAACCAGCCTGGTACTACAGTAAAACCTGTAACTAAAGACCAGCGTGACTAGCGACCAGCGTGGTACTACAGTAAAACCTGTAACTAAAGACCAGCGTGACTAGCAACCAGCCTGGTACTACAGTAAAACCTGTAACTAAAAACCAGCGTGACTAGCAACCAGCCTGGTACTTCAGTAAAACCTGTAACTAAAGACCACCGTGACTAGCAACCAGCCTGGTACTACAGTAAAACCTGTAACTAAAGACCAGCGTGACTAGCAACCAGCCTGGTACTACAGTAAAACCTGTAACTAAAGACCAGCGTGACTAGCAACCAGCCTGGTGCTACAGTAAAACCTGTAGCTAAAGACCAGCGTGACTAGCAACCAGCCTGGTACTACAGTAAAACCTGTAACTAAAGACCAGCGTGACTAGCAACCAGCCTGGTACTACAGTAAAACCTGTAACTAAAGACCAGCGTGACTAGCAACCAGCCTGGTACTACAGTAAAACCTGTAACTAAAGACCAGCGTGACTAGCAACCAGCCTGGTACTACAGTAAAACCTGTAACTAAAGACCAGCGTGACTAGCAACCAGCCTGGTACTACAGTAAAACCTGTAACTAAAGACCAGCGTGACTAGCAACCAGCCTGGTACTACAGTAAAACCTGTAACTAAAGACCAGCGTGACTAGCAACCAGCCTGGTACTACAGTAAAACCTGTAACTAAAGACCAGCGTGACTAGCAACCAGCCTGGTACTACAGTAAAACCTGTAACTAAAGACCAGCGTGACTAGCAACCAGCCTGGTACTACAGTAAAACCTGTAACTAAAGACCAGCGTGACTAGCAACCAGCCTGGTACTACAGTAAAACCTGTAACTAAAGACCAGCGTGACTAGCGACCAGCCTGGTACTACAGTAAAACCTGTAACTAAAGACCAGCGTGACTAGCAACCAGCCTGGTACTACAGTAAAACCTGTAACTAAAGACCAGCGTGACTAGCAACCAGCCTGGTACTTCAGTAAAACCTGTAACTAAAGACCAGCGTGACTAGCAACCAGCCTGGTACTACAGTAAAACCTGTAACTAAAGACCAGCGTGACTAGCAACCAGCCTGGTACTACAGTAAAACCTGTAACTAAAGACCAGCGTGACTAGCAACCAGCCTGGTACTACAGTAAAACCTGTAACTAAAGACCAGCGTGACTAGCAACCAGCCTGGTACTACAGTAAAACCTGTAACTGAAGACCAGCGTGACTAGCAACCAGCCTGGTACTACAGTAAAACCTGTAACTAAAGACCAGCGTGACTAGCAACCAGCCTGGTACTACAGTAAAACCTGTAACTAAAGACCAGCGTGACTAGCAACCAGCCTGGTACTACAGTAAAACCTGTAACTAAAGACCAGCGTGACTAGCAACCAGCCTGGTACTACAGTAAAACCTGTAACTAAAGACCAGCGTCACTAGCAACCAGCCTGGTACTACAAAAAAACCTGTAACTAAAGACCAGCGTGACTAGCAACCAGCCTGGTACTACAGTAAAACCTGTAACTAAAGACCAGCGTGACTAGCAACCAGCCTGGTACTACAGTAAAACCTGTAACTAAAGACCAGCGTGACTAGCAACCAGCCTGGTACTACAGTAAAACCTGTAACTAAAGACCAGCGTGACTAGCAACCAGCCTGGTACTACAGTAAAACCTGTAACTAAAGACCAGCGTGACTAGCGACCAGCCTGGTACTACAGTAAAACCTGTAACTAAAGACCAGCGTGACTAGCGACCGGCCTGGTACTACAGTAAAACCTGTAACTAAAGACCAGCGTGACTAGCAACCAGCCTGGTACTACAGTAAAACCTGTAACTAAAGACCAGCGTGACTAGCAACCAGCCTGGTACTACAGTAAAACCTGTAACTAAAGACCAGCGTGACTAGCAACCAGCCTGGTACTACAGTAAAACCTGTAACTAAAGACCAGCGTGACTAGCAACCAGCCTGGTACTACAGTAAAACCTGTAACTAAAGACCAGCGTGACTAGCAACCAGCCTGGTACTACAGTAAAACCTGTAACTAAAGACCAGCGTGACTAGAGACCAGCCTGGTACTACAGTAAAACCGGGTTTCGGCACCAAGCTGTTAGATAATCACGACCGCCCCAACTCACTCCCGGACACGCACTCACAACAACGTCCACAACGAGTTTTTTGGCGAACAGTGTTCATATAATTATTGGAGAAGAAGCAGAGAATGTGGGAGAGCGAAAAACACAAGTTTGTTCCACGGCCAACTCTAAAAACACTAACTGGAACTGATGTAGTTCTTCGTTGTACGCACTGTACGCATGAGAGCACGCCAGTTGCATGCCAGCGCGCAAGCGAGCAATGAACATGAAACGGACACCAGGAGTAAAAGGATCTGGCGGTGACACAAAGTCAAAGGGAATGTATTACATGTCGGGAGACCATCAATGAGCCACGGTAGCCGGCGGGTGCAACAAGGAATGTAAGATAGAAGTTAGAGCAACGAATACCATGCATACTCTCACAAGCGTGACTAGCAACCAGCCTGGTACTACAGTAAAACCTGTAACTAAAGACAAGCGTGACTAGAGACCAGCCTGGTACTACAGTAAAACCTGTAACCAAAGACCAGCGTGACTAGCAACCAGCCTGGTACTACAGTAAAACCTGTAACTAAAGACCAGCGTGACTAGCAACCAGCCTGGTACTACAGTAAAACCTGTAACTAAAGACCAGCGTGACTAGCAACCAGCCTGGTACTACAGTAAAACCTGTAACTAAAGACCAGCGTGACTAGCAACCAGCCTGGTACTACAGTAAAACCTGTAACTAAAGACCAGCGTGACTAGCAACCAGCCTGGTACTACAGTAAAACCTGTAACTAAAGACCAGCGTGACTAGCAACCAGCCTGGTACTACAGTAAAACCTGTAACTAAAGACCAGCG